GGAGATAGGCAACCTTCCAGAAAAAGAATTCAGAATAATGATAGTGAAGATGATCCAGGGCCTCGGAAAAAGAATGAAGACAAAGATCAAGAAAATGCAAAAAATGTTTAACAAAGACCTAGAAGAACTGAAAGAACAAACACCTAGAAGAATTAAAGAAAAAACAGACATGAACAATACACTAACTGAAATGAAAAATACACTAGAAGGAATCAATAGCAGAATAACTGAGGCAGAAGAATGGGTAAGTTACCTGGAAGACAGAATGGTGGAATTCACTGCCATGGAACAGACTAAAGAAAAATGAATGAAAAGAAATGAAGACAACCTAAGAGATCTCTGGGACAACATTAAACGCACCAACATTTGCCTTATAGAGGTCCCAGAAGGAGAAGAGAGAGAGAAAGGACCTGAGAAAATATTTGAAGAGATAATAGTAGAAAACTTCCCTAACGTGGGAAAGGAAACAGCCACCCAAGTCCAGGAAGTGCAGAGTCCCAGGCAGGATAAACCCAAGGAGAAACATGCCGAGACACATAGTAATCAAATTGAAAAAAATTAAAGACAAAGAAAAATTATTAAAAGCAACAAGGCAAAAATGACAAATAACATACAAGGGAACTCCCATAAGGTTAACAGCTGATTTCTCCGCAGAAACTGTAGATAGCCTCATCCAGGGGGAAGGAGCAGTGACAATGGACAACCTGAAATACAAAGTATGCCAATAAAATGGACAACCCTCCCAGAAGGGAGGGGCACGATATATTTAAAAGTGATGAAAGGGAAGAACCTACAACCAAGACTACTCTACCTGCAAAGATCTCATTCAGATTCAACGGAGAAATCAAAAGCTTTACAGACAAGCAAAAGCTAAAAGAATTCAGCACCACCAAACCAGCTCTACAACAAATGCTAAAGGAACTTCTCTAAGTGGGAAACACAAGAGAAGAAAAAGACCTATGAAAACAAACCCAAAACAAATAAGAAAATGGTAATAGTAACATACATATCGATAATTACCTTAAATGTGAATGGATTAAATGCTCCTACCAAAAGACACAGGCTTGCTGCATGGATACAAAAACAAGATCCAAATATATGCTGTCCACAAGAGACCTCCTTCAGTCCTTGGGACACATACAGACTGAAAGTGAAGGGATGGAAAAAGATATTCCATGTGAATGGAAATCAAAAGAAGCTGGAGTAGCAATACTCATTTCAAATAAAATAGACTTTAAAATAAAGAATGTTACAAGACACAAGGAAGGACACTATATAATGATCAAGGGATCAATCCAAGAAGAAGACATAAGAATTATAAACATATATGCACCCACATGGGAGCACCTCAATACATAATGCAAAAGCTAACAGCTATAAAAGAGGAAATCGACAGCAACACAATAATAGTGGGGGACTTTTAACACCTCATGTACACCAATGGACAGATCATCCAGACAGAAAATTAATGAGGAAACACAAGCTTTAAATGACACAATAGACCAGATAGATTTAATTGATATTTATAGGACATTCCATTCAAAAACAGCAGATTACACTTTCTTCTCAAGTGCACACTGAACATTATCCAGTATAGATCACATCTTTCGTCACAAATCAAGCCTTGGTAAATTTAAGAAAACAAATCATATCAAGCATCTTTTCTGACCTCAACGCTATGAGATAAGAAATAAATTACAGGAAAAAAAACATAAAAAACACAAACACATGGAGGCTAAACAATACGTTATTAAATAACCAAGGGATCACTGAAGGAATCAAAGGGAAATCAAAAATACCTAGAGATGAATGACAATGAAAACATGACGATCCAAAACCTCTGGAATGCAGCAAAAGCAGTTCTAGGAGGGAAGTTTATAGCAATATAATCCTACCTCAAGAAAAAAAAAAAATCCCAAGCAATCTAACTTTACACTTAAAAGAACTAGAAAAGAAGAACAAACAAAACCCAAAGTTAGCAGAAGGAAAGAAATCATAAAGATCAGAGCAAAATTAATTAAATAGAAACAAAAAAACAATAGCAAAGATCAATAAAAGTAAAAGGTGGTTCTTTGAGAAGATAAAATTGATAAACCTTTAGCTAGACTCATCAAGAAAAAGAGGGAGAGGACTCAAATCAAAAATAGAAATGAAAAAGGAGAAGTTACAATGGACACCACAGAAATACACAGTATGCCAATAAAATGTACAACCTGAAAGAAATGGACAAATTCTTAGAAAGGTATAACGTTCCAAGACTGAACCAGGAAGAAATAGAAAATATGAACACACCAATCACAAGTAATGAAATGGAAACTGTGACTAAAAATCTTCCAACAAACAAAAGTCCAGGACCAGAAGGCTTTACAGGTGAATTCTATCAAACATTTAGACAAGAGCTGACACCCATCCTCCTCAAACTCTTTCAAAAAATTGTAGAGGAATGAATATTCCCAAGCTCATTCTACGAGGCCACAATCACCCTGATACGAAAACCAGACAAAGTTACTACAAAAAAAGAAAATTACAGACCAGTATCACTGATGAATACAGATGCAAATCTCCTCAACGAAATACTAGCAAACAGAATCCAAAAACACATTAAAAGGATCATACACCATGACCAAGTGGGATTTATCCCAGGGATGCAAGGATTCTTCAATACATGCAGATCAACCAATGTGATACACCACATTAACAAACTGAAGAACGAAAACCATATGATCATCTTAATAGCTGCAGAAAAAGCTTCTGACAAAATTCAACACCCATTTATGATAAAAACTCTCCAGAAAGTGGGCATAGAGGGAACCTACCTCAACATAATAAAGGCCATATACGAAAAACCCACAGCAATCATCATTCTCAATGGTGAAAAACTGAAAGCATTTCCTCTAAGATCAGGAACAAGACAAGGATGTCCACTCTCACCACTATTATTCAACATAGATTTGTAAATCCTAGCCACGGCAATCAGAAAAGAAAAAGAAATAAAAGGAATCCAAATTGGAAAAGAAGTAGTAAAACTGTCACTGTTTGCAGATGACATGATACTATACATAAAGGATCCTAAAGATGCCACCAGAAAACTACTAGAGCTAATCAATGAATTTGGTAAAGTTGCAGGATACAAAATGAATGCAGAGAAATCGCTTGCATTCTATAAACTAACAACAAAAGATCAGAAAGAGAAATTAAGGAAATAATCCCATTCACCATTGCAACAAAAAGAATAGAATACCTAGGAATAAACCTACCTAAGGAGGTAAAAGGTCTGTACTCAGAAGACCATAAGACACTGATGAAAGAAATCAAAGATGACACAAACAGATGGAGAGATATACCATGTTCTTGAATTGGAAGAACCAATATTGTGAAAATGACTATACTACCCAAAGCAATCTACAGATTCAATGCAATCCCTATCAAATTACCAAGAGCATTTTTTATAGAACTAGAACAAAAAATCTGAAAATTTGTATGGAGACACAAAAGACCCCAAATAGCCAAAGCAATCTTGAGGGAAAAAAACGGAGCTGGAGGACTCAGACTCCCTGACTTCATATTATACTACAAAGCTACACTAATTAAGACAATATGGTTCTGGCATAAAAACAGAAATACAGAATAATGGAACAGGATAGAAAGCCCAGACGTAAACCCACGCACCTATGGTCAACTAATCTATGACAAAGGAGGCAAGGATATGCAATGGAGAAAAGACAGTCTCTTTAATGAGTGGTGCTGGGAAAACTGGACAGCTACATGTAGAAGAATGAAATTAGAACACTCCCTAACATCACACACACAAAAAAACTCAAAACGGATTAAAGCCCTAATGTAAGACGGGAAACTCTTAGAGGAAAACATAGGAAGAACACTCTTTGACATAAATCACGGCAAGTTCTTTTTTGATCCACCTCCTAGAGTAATGGAAATAAAAACAAAAATAAACAAAGGGGACCCAATGAAACTTAAAAGCTTTTGCATAGCAAAGGAAACTGTAAACAAGATGAAAAGACAGCCCTCAGAATGGGAGAAAATATTTGCAGACGAATCAATGGACAAAGGATTAATCTTCAAAATATATAAACAGCTCATGCAGCTCAATATTAAAAAAAAACAAAGAACCCAATCAAAAAATGGTAGAAGACGTAAACAGACATTTCTCCAAAGAAGACATACAGATGGCCAAGAGGCACATGAAAAGCTGCTCAACATCACTAATTATTAGAGAAATGCAAATCAAAACTACAATGAGGTACCACCTCATGCCAGTTACAATGGGCATCATCAGAAAATCTACAAACAACACATGCTGGAGAGGGTGTGGAGAAAAGGGAATGCTCTTGTACTGTTGGTGGGAATGTAAACTGATACAGCCACTATGGAGAACAATATGGAGGTTCCTTCAAAAACTAAATATAGAATTACCATATGACCCAGCAATCCCACTACTGGGCATATACCCAGAGAAAACCATAATTCAAAAAGACACATGCACCCCAGTGTTCACTGCAGCACTATTTACAATAGTCAGGTCATGGAAGCAACCTAAATGCCCATCGACAGATGAATGGATAAAGAAGATGTGGTACATATATACAATGGAACATTAGCTATAAAAAGGAACGAAACTGTGTCATTTGTAGAGACGTGGATGGACCTAGAGACTGTCATACAGAACGACGTAAGTCAGAAAGAGAAAAACAAATATCGTATATTAACGCATATATGTGGAATCTAGAAAAATGGTACAGATGAACCGGTTTGCAAGGAAAACAGTGACACAGATGTAGAGAACAAACGCAAGGGGGAAAAGTGGGGTGGGTGGGATGAATTGGGAGATTGGGATTGACATATATACACTAATATGTATAAAACAGATAACTAATAAGAACCTGCAGTATAAAAAAAATAAATATTAAAAAAAATCACTGCTATAGAAAAATACTAATATTAGAAATAAAGTTCTTAAACAAAATTCAAAAGTTACCAACCTAGTGATGTAAACTCTTCTTCCAGAGAGCTAGAGCTATTGGAAGATGAACTCTGATCATCTTTACTTTCTGAAGAACGATGTGTTCCATCCTCTTCGTCTGTTGAAAGATCAACCGCTCTGGATTCTAACAGGACGTTTTTTGAATATAACAAGAAAGAGTCAAGATGTTGGAATCAATAATTGAAATTATGAACAACACATGGCATATGTAAAATATGGTGTTTTAATTTTACTCCACATATTTAAAGTAGATATGCAGATCTTTCCTAATTTCCATTCTTTCTGAAATCAATGGATGGTCTAATAAATGTACAAGGACGTATCCTATTTGTGTTATCTACTTAACTAGTAAAATACTCTCTTCATTAAAGAATGAAACGAAAAGAGGAAAGGGAACATAAGAGAAAAAAGAAAATGACAAAAAGTGAAAGGATATTTAAATGAAAAAAGAAAAACAGTGATAGTGAATAAGTAGAAAAAGAAAAGAATACTTAACGTACATTTCCTATATGCTAGACATACTGAAGTCTGGTTTACGAGATTTATTTCATTTAACATTCACAACGCTATAAAGTAAATGCTATTACTGATGAGAATATTAAGGACTGGAAAGGCTAAATAACATGTCCAATGTCACAAAGTTACTAAATGAAGAAGCTGGGCTTTCAGTCAAATTTCATCCAATTCTGGAATTTAGGCTCTTGTAATATAAATACTAAGTTACATTTCAATGGCTGGTGGTAAGAAGTACTATAATGAGTACTGTAGCATCAAACCAAATCATGGATCTATTTCCATTGTGTGATTCTGGAAAGGACATAGTCAATTAATCAATGAAACAAAGACAGCATTAAGAGAGAACACCCACAGAGGTATTGTGAGAATCGAATGAGCACAAGTGTAAAGGAATTTATGGTATTATTGACAAAAAAGGACTTGTTAGTTCACAAATATTTTGTAATAGTTGTGAATAACCTTAAGATTTAAGATTACATAAATAAGTACTCTTATATTAAGAACGTTCCTTAATTAGAAAACCTATATAAATTTCAAAAAAGCTGGAGTAAAATCAAGAATTAAAAGACAAAGTAATATATCGCTTCTTGGCCATTTGGCTAAGATCAAGTGTAAAAGACAAGGAATATAGCTGTAGCTTACATCTTTCTTAGCTACTGCTATTTATAACAACTCCTACATCTTCTTAAAGTGAAGTAAAGTTACACCAGAGCAGTGGTTCTCAGAGTATGATCCATCAACGCTTGGAGGTCCCTCAGACCCTTTCAGCGGGTCTGAGGGAAAAGCCAAACTACTTTCATCACAACATTAACTTGTTACTTGCCCTTTCTACTCCGTTGGTGGGTAAAACTGCAAATCTTTTAGTATGAATCATAACAGTGATACCAATCTGCAGAAGCGTCCACTGTATTCTTTTCCACCTTGTACTAGCAAGAAAAATAGTCAGTTTCACTTATTGTCCTTAATGAAACAATAAAAAAATAATTTGATTAAATTTTGGCCCTGAGTACACATCTTTTTAATATTCTGTGGATCAAAATAGAAGCATGCATAAAGCACTTCTGGCTCATAATGAAATGCAATGGTTGCCTCAAGGAAAAGCACTTGTGTGATGAGCTGCAAGTTGAACTTAACCACTGTCTTTGAGGAGGAAAACCTTTCTACTTGAAAGAATGACAGACAAACTCTAGTTATTCAGACATGGGTATCTGACAAACATTTTCTTAAAAACGAGCAAAGTTGTGCCTATTACTTCAAGAATTAGAAGTTTCAAGTGAAGTCTATAATTTTGGGAATTATACTACTGTGAACTTGATAGCTTTCCTCTACTGTGAACTTGATAGCTTTCCAATACTTAAAGACTGATGATGTCAGTAGTAGCATTAAGAGAGTTTTGCTTTTGACATTGTAATAAATTGTACCAACACTTGCAAGAACTGCAACTCTGTGAACTACTACTTTCCAAAGAGTCAATGCATGATGTTACCAGTCATGCATGGGTAAAAGAGCCATTCAAAGTGCAAAACACACCGACAGATTTTAATCTAGTGGAGTACAAAAAAATTGACTGATATGGTTTCAGCTTCCTCGTGCCAACTAAAAATTGGCACTTGCCTTCTGCATCTACAAGGATTAAGTCACAAACTACTGTAGCTGCTGATTTTCAATACACCCTGAAAGGAGTTCAGGGCAGAGATGAGGAATGAGGTACTCTGTGCTTTGGGAAAAACTGGCAGAACAGGCCTTCAGACAGATATTTTCAGAAGATTTTATGAGCTCAATCCTTACATCTCCTCATATCTGGAAAAGCACTAAAATCATTAATGGTGATGTCTGCTCCTCATGACTAGCAGCAAGCCTGCCAAAATGTGTGTTTGACCGCACAAACCCCTCTTCACTAATATCATATGTAATACTGACCTCTCCCCTACCTCTGTGGAGCAGTTTCTCAAAGCTACCTGAAACGCTGTCTCCTGGGCTATAGTTCTCATTTTGCCCCAAATAAAACTTAACTCACATTGTGCATTTTCTTCAGTCGACACACATTGCAAACTAACCTTTAAGAACCTATTACTTTTTGAGCTTCATTGTAATATTAAAGCAGAACACCTTCAATGAACTAAAAAGGCTCTTAAGTACTCCTAATCATCTATCTGTGGTTTTCTTCATACATTCAAACAAAACAACATATTTCAATAGACTGAATGCAGAAATATCTGTGAGAATTCAGCTGTCTTCCATTAAGCCAGACATTAAAGAGATTTGCAAATTGAAAACGTCACTCTATTTTTCAGAAAACAGTTATTTTTCATTAAAAAGGTTTATCTGTACATATAATGAGTTAATTTTAAAAAAGAATTAATAAAAGTTTATCTTAATTCCTAAGATGGTAAATATTATAGATATAATCCACAGAATTATTATAGATATAATCCACAGAAACAAAAGCTCTTTGGGATCCTTAATTATTCTTAAGAGTATAATGGGTATGTATACCTTTAAGACCAAAAGGGTACTCTTAAGACCAAAAAGTTTGAGAACCACTGTTTCACTGTTTTAGAAGGCAAGAGAAGAGGCAACTCCTGGGACACCCCCTCCCATTAAAGTTTAACCAGATGACTCTTACATAAAGCAAAAAATATTTTAAAAGTCATCAGAACTTCAGATAAACAGGTGATTATAACAATGACTAAGAAATCACCAAAATCACTTGGACTAAAAGTGGGAGAAAATTTTTTTACCTCAAGACTAACCAAAAACTATATATTTTTTTACAGATACTTTTTTATTTATTGAAATTATACCATGTATACTGTCTTGAAAATAACAATAAATTACGTAACATATCATTAGCAACATAGGTTTGTTTTCTACATGGTTATTTCATCCTGTGACAAGCCAGAAATGCTGAATCATCACTCTGTTAGTGGCATCATCCACAGGTGACAAACTGGAGATTCTACTCATGTCAACAGGCCAGGGATTACCTCAGTTCATTAAACCTGAGTGTTAGGTATCCTGGAGAAACATGGTTTGCAGACAAAAGTAGGTAAAAAGTGCCATTTATCTGGAGAAGCTAGTTGCTTTTAGGGCCTTTACTACGAGCTTCACTACTGAATTTTTTTAGAAGTTCCTTTTAGAATGAAACATAATCTCAAATATTTTTATGTGTGTCTGAGTCAGAAGTTAATGTATTTAAACTTCAAGACCCTATTTATACAAGTTCCTTCCAAGTCCTTGTTCCTGTGTTTTTATTTCTAACTTTTCCTAACTATATAGTTTTATTTTTAACTATATTATTATTAAACTCCAATTCAAACTAGAACACATCTTATGTAAACAAGTTTATGCTGCTTGAATTCTATTTTTAAGAACGCAAAGGTACTTCAAAATTACTACACTGTATTTAACACCATTATTGGTACTCTACAGGGTCACCAATCTGTTGTTAGTGGCATATATTGCTATTTTTATCTTTTCTTTAAATAACCGCTTAAAAAACAAAACGCAAAAGGAAATGTCCCAAAGCCTGTCACCTAAATTTTTCTAGTGTATCGTTTTGCTTGTTTTCGAGGAAAAGAATTGGGGACAGAAAGTACCTTCACCTACCTAGGAGTATTAGGAATTTTTAAACTCTTCTGTGACGATTTAGGTTCTTCATAAGCATAAAGTGCAGCACTAAAGCTATATATAATTAGTGAGGGTTTATCTGACAGTGCAAACACGGACAAGCCCAAACCTTGCAGTATTCTTTCTACTCCCCCAAGGGGCCCAATACGGAGATACAGGCAGCAGGCCAGTGATCGCAGGCAGGTATCATCGTTGTTCGTGGTTGGCAAAGGGTTGTAGAAACCTCTAGAGAATCCCGCGGCCTCTTTCCCCATCCTCCCCACACCCCGCCCCGGGCATCCACCCTGCTGCCCCAGGCACCCATCCTGCTGCCCCGCGTCACCTGGGACGTCCGAGCCTCCGTCCAAACGCGAAGCCGCTCTCGCGGCGTGCCGGGAACTGGCCCAGACCCGGCCGCGGCCCCGGCCCCGGCCCCGACCCCGGGCCCGGCGGGGTAGTTCCGCCGCTTCCGCGCGGCCTCCTCCAGACTGCAGCCCTTCCTCCGCAGGGCCCAGGTCTGCCTGCTCCCCCGGCGCGCCGGGTTCAGCAAACGGCTCCTGGGTGCTGTCGCTGTCACTAGAGTCCGCTCGGCGCTGCCGGAAAGTCCTTTTCGGCCTGTGAGCCATAGCAGGTTCACTTCCTGCTCTGGCTAACCCAGGCCTACAACAGTCACCCAGGCGCGCGCTCCCGCCTCCCGCCTTTCCGCCGCATGCGTGCGCCCTACCGGCGCGTCTTCGACTCCAGCTTCGCCATGCGCATGCGTGCTTTGTTCCCTTCGATCTGTTCGACCGAGTTCGGTTCCCAGGGCTGAGGCATGTAGAGCGTTTTTACTTTGCAAGGCCAGATTGTGCAGATGGTCGCAGAGAATCTCGCTGACTTCCGGAGGTGAGTTCCACGGAAAGCTGCACTCACAGGCTCTTGTGCAAACCCTATCTGGGAATCAGGCGTTATGCCCACATCCTGGACTGGGACTGGATCTGCTCTTCTACTTTCTGGAGAGAGTGAAGTTCTCTCCAACCAAGAATTAAAACAGAAAGAAAAAAAAAAAAAAAAAAAAAAAAACCAAGCAAAAAAACCGCAGGTGTGTGTGTGTTTGAGATTGTCTCTGAAAGCTAAACAGTAAAATCTGCACAGTAAAATCTGCACATAAATGATAGGTGCACAAATAAGCAAAAATCAAATGATTGCTTCCAAGTATCAAGGCTTCAGTAGAACCTGGTTAAATACGTTGGTCCATAAGAAAAAAAAATGTATTTGAAAAATGGGGATGTTATTTAAAAAGATGCACAGAGATAACAAGGACAGCCCCACAGAATTACCTTTAGAAACAGGTAAAGAGCAACAAGAGAGCAAGAAGCCTTTTTAGGTACCCATAATCATCACTACTTTATATTATTTGCTCTTTCTTATGAATACGAGGAATTTCTTCCCCCAAGATGACATGAATAATGCCATATATCTTATTTGCCCCCACTATACTAATTTACAATACTAGCTTATTAAATTAATCAACTGGTTATTAGGAAACTTTGCATTATTCATATTTTATATAATTTAAAATTGCAGAGGTTAATAATTGAAAGAAAATTGGCATATGAAATATTTCCAGCTTTTGGAAATCGTTTATCCCCTAGTGAAGTGACATTTTATTCTGCTTCTCTAGCCATTGATCAGTGGGTTCTGAGCTCCCTCTAGTGAGAAATGTGCTACTTACAGAAGGATTGTGTCAATCTTGGAAATTACCTCCTTTCTCATAATAGAGCTACTTTTCATTCTCTGTTGTTATAAGTAATAGATATATTTTCATTTTTAAGCCAAACCTACATCAGATTTTCTCAGAGAACAAATATTGAGAAATCTTATTAATAAGTTATCACTCTCTCCTTCGGGAATTAAAAACACTTATTGTGGAAATAGATCCACAAAAGTATGGACCTAATTTTGTTTTCATTTTTTCAGTATCTATTTTTGAGCACTTACTATGACGGTCTCTTGTCCTGGGCCCAAAGGGTCATGATATACATGGGGGTCATGCTCCCGGTGGTCAGGTGCTATTAGCCAAATTATCCCTACAGTTTGGCTTGTTGGAAATTACTTTAAAAAAATGATGCTCAAAATACTTAATGTAAGATCTACACTCTCAACAAATTTTTAAGTGTACAGTACAGTATTGTTAATTATAAACACAATGTTGTACAGCAGATCTCTAGAACTTTTTCCTTTTAACCAAAGCTTTTTACCTGTTGTACTTTAACTCCCCATTCCTCCTCCTCCCTGCCCCTGGCAATCACCATTCTCCTTTTTGCTTCTATGAGTTTGGCTATTTTAGGTACCTCATGTAAGTGGAATCATGCAGTATTTACCCTTCTGTGACTTAGCATAATGCCCTCAAAGCTCATCCATTTTGTCACATATAGTGGGATTTCCTTCCTTTTTAATGATGAATGATATTCCATTGTCTCTATATACCACATTTTCTTTATCCATTCATTGGACAATAGACATTTAGGTGGTTTCCATACCTTGGCTATTGTGAAGAATGTTGCAATAAACGTGGGAGTGCAAATATGTCTTCAAGATCCTGATTTCAATTCTTGTGGATAAATACCCAGAAGTGGGATGGCTGGATCATATGGTAGTTTTATTTTTAATTTTTTGAGGAACTTCCCTACTGTTTTCCATAACAACTGCACATTTCACATTCCCACCAACTGTGTGCAAACATTCCAGTTTCTCCACAACCTTGCCAACACTTGTTGACTATTGATTGATTGACTGATTGATACCGGCCATCCTAGCAGATGTGAAGTGATATCTCATTGTGGTTTTGATAGGCATTTCCCTGATTAGTGATGTTCAGCATCTTTCACATAGCTGTTGGCTTCTTTGGAGAAAGTCTATTCAAATCCTTTGCCCATTTTAAAATTGGGTTATTTGGTTTTGTTGTTGTTGTTGGTTTTGTTTTGTCATTGAGTTGTAGTACTACCTTATATATTTTGGATATTAATCTCTTATCATATATATGGTTTGTCAATATTTTTCTCCCTTTCCATAGTTTGCCTTTTCAGTCTGTTGATCATTTCCTTTGCTGGGCAGAAGCTTTTTAGTTTGATGTAATCCTACTTGTCTATTTTTGATTCTGTTGCCAGTGCTTTTGGCATCATATCCAATAAATCATTGCCAAGACCAATGTCATGAAGATTTTCCCTTAAATTTTCTTTTAAGAATTTTACAGTTTAAGATTTTATGTTTAAGTGTTTAATATATTTTGAAATGATTTTTGTATATGGTGTAAGATAAGCATACAATTTTGTTCTTTTGCATGTGGATATCCAGTTTCCCCAACACCATCTGTTGAAGAGACTATTCTTTCCCATTGTGTGTTCTTGGTATTTCTGTCAAAGATTAGTTGACCATATATGTGTGTGTTTATTTCTGGGTTCTCTATTCTGTATCATTCTTCTACATGTCTTTCTTTATGACAGTACCATACTCTTTTTTTTTTTTTATCTTACTTGAAACTTCTGTGTGTTCTTTTATTTTTTTTTAACATCTTTATTGGGGTATAATTGCTTTACATGGTGTGTTAGTTTCTGCTTTATAACAAAGTGAATCAGTTATACATATACATATGTTCCCATATCTCTTCCCTCTTGCGTCTCCCTCCCTCCCACCCTCCCTATCCCACCCCTCCAGGTGGTCACAAAGCACTGAGCTGATCTCCCTGTGCTATGCGGCTGCTTCCCACTAGCTATCTACCTTACGTTTGGTAGTGTATATATGTCCATGCCTCTCTCTCGCTTTGTCACAGCTCACCCTTCCCCCTCCCCATATCCTCAAGTCCGTTCGATAGTAGGTCTGTGTCTTTATTCCTGTCTTACCCCTAGGTTCCTCATGACATTTTTTTTCTTAAATTCCATATATATGTGTTAGCAAACGGTATTTGTCTTTCTCTTTCTGACGTACTTCACTCTGTATGACAGACTCTAGGTCTATCCACCTCATTACAAATAGCTCAATTTCGTTTCTTTTTATGGCTGAGTAATATTCCATTGTATATATGTGCCACATCATCTTGATGCATTCATCCGATGATGGACACTTAGGTTGTTTCCATCTCCAGGCTATTGTAAATAGAGCTGCAATGAACATTTCGGTACCTGACTCTTTTTGAATTATGATTTTCTCAGGGTATATGCCCAGTAGTGGGATTGCTGGGTCATATAGTAGTTCTATTTGTAGTTTTTTAAGGAACCTCCATACTGTTCTCCATAGTGGCTGTACCAATTCACATTCCCACCAGCAGTGCAAGAGGGTTCCCTTTTCTCCACACCCTCTCCAGCATTTATTGTTTCTAGATTTTTTGATGACGGCCATTCTGACTGGTGTGGGATGATATCTCACTGTACTTTTGATTTGCATTTCTCTAATGATTAGTGATGTTGAGCATTCTTTCATGTGTTTGTTGGCAGTCTGTATATCTTCTTTGGAGAAATGTCTATTTAGGTCTTCTGCCCATTTTTGGATTGGGTTGTTTGTTTTTTTGTTATTGAGCTGCATGAGCTGCTTATAACTTTTGGAGAGTAATGATTTGTCAGTTGTTTCATTTGCAAATATCTTCTCCCATTCTGAGGGTTGTCTTTTGGTCTTGTTTATGGTTTCCTTTGCTGTGCAAAAGCTGTGAAGTTTCATTAGGTCCCATTTGTTTATTTTTGTTTTTATTTCCATTACTCTAGGAGGTGGGTCAAAAAGGATCTTGCTGTGATTTATGTCATAGAGTGTCCTGCCTATGTTTTCCTCTAAGAGTTTGATAGTTTCTGCCCTTACATTTAGGTCTTTAATCCATTTTGAGCTTATTTTGGTGTATGGTGTTAGGGAGTGATCTAATCCCATACTTTTACATGTACCTGACCAGTTTTCCCAGCACCATTTATTGAAGAGGCTCTCCTTTCTCCACTGTACATTCCTGCCTCCTTTATCAAAGATAAGATGACCATATGTGCGTGGGTTTATCTCTGGGCTTTCTACCTGTTTTATTGATCTATCTTTCTGTTTTTGTGCCAGTACCATACTGTCTTGATTACTGTAGCTTTGTAGTATAGTCTGAAGTCAGGGAGCCTGATTCCTCCAGCTCCGTTTTTCGTTCTCAAGATTGCTTTGGCTATTCGGAGTCTTTTGTGTCTCCATACAAATTGTGAAATTTTTTGTTCTAGTTCTGTGAAAAATGCCAGTGGTAGTTTGATAGGGATTGCATTGAATCTGTAGATTGCTTTGGGTAGTAGAGTCATTTTCACAATGTTCATTCTTCCAATCCAAGAACATGGTATATCTCTCCATCTATTTGTATCATCTTTAATTTCTTTCATCAGTGTCTTATAATTTTCTGCATACAGGTCTTTTGTCTCCTTAGGTAGATTTATTCCTAGATATTTTCTTCTTTTTGTTGCAATGGTAAATGGGAGTGTTTCCTTGATTTCACTTTCAGATTTTTCAACATTAGTGTATAGGAATGACAGAGATTTCTGTGCGTTAATTTTGTATCCTGCCACTTTACCAAATTCATTGATTAGCTCTAGTAGTTTTCTGGTAGCATCTTTAGAATTCTCTATGTATAGTATCATGTCATCTGCAAACAGTGACAGCTTTACTTCTTCTTTTCCGATTTGGATTCCTTTTATTTCCTTTGCTTCTCTGATTCCTGTGGCTAAAACTT